TACTCAAATACCAATAAATTAAGTAATGAGACATGCCTAAGTTAAATAGGAGTTTTGCTGCTGTTCTTACTTAGAGCTTTAAAAGAAAATAAAATCTAAATATAGGAACATTGCGCATTACTGCAACATTCATTAAGGAAAACAAAACTTCCCATTTTCCCATTTGTCACCCAGAGTAACTAAACGTCTTCAGAGAAGTTAAGTTGCTGTTTTAGCTGGTTTATTACTGGGTCACTTTCCCATGTACTCAGCAGAAGTTCCAAGTTGCTTTCGACATGGACTGGGAGAAGTTACAAGGGTCTTTCTTGACTTGCATAAATCAGGGCTGGTCTGGGTAGAATCAGTCTGATCTGCAAGGTAAGAGACTGTGGTTTGGCACATTTCCCGGCTGGGGGACCTCTGCTTGGTCTGCTGGACTTGGAGGCAGAGAGGGAATCCTCCTAGGATGGCGCTCTGACCCACCTTATGTCCCCACATCCCCTTGATAAAGCCAGGACTGCTGCCATAACCCAGCGGTCTCCAACACCCCCCACTACTCCGTCCTGGCTGCAGACGGGTACCAGTCCACGGCTTGTTAGGAACCGGGCAGCACAGCAGGAGGTGAGTGGAGGGCGTGCGAGTGAAGCTTCATCTGTATTTATAGTCACTGTCTCCCATCACCCCCAGATGGGACCATCTAGTTACAGGAAAACATGCTCAAGGCTCCCACTGATTCTGGGTTATGGTGAGCTGTGTAATCATTTCATTATATATTACAATGTAATAATAATAAAAATAAAGTGCACAATAAATGTAATGCGCTTAAATCATCCTGAGACCATCCCGCCTCCTACTGCCATCTGTGGAAAAATTGTCTTCCGTGAAACCAGTCCCTGGTGCCAAAAAAGGTTGGGGACAGCTGCCGTAACCCATATGGGGGTAGAGGGGACTGAGGCTCAAATAATCAGTAATTAAACCCAGGATGCTGTCGATAGAAGAAGGGTATTGCCCACTCCTGAGCCCACTGGCTATTTGAGGTGAGGGACGAGGGCTACCCTCCTTCACTCTGAACTTCCCTGACTGCGTGCATCACTAGCTCTCTCCCTTTTTTTTTTTTTTTTGAGACAGAGTCTTGCTCTGTTACCCTGGCTGGAATGCCATGGTGTCATCATAGCTCACAGCAACCTCAAACTCAGGTGATCCTCCTGCCTCAGCTTCCTGAGTAGCTGGGACTACAGGCGCACACCACCACACCCAGCTACTTTTTTCTATTTTTAGTAGAGATGGGGTCTCGCTCTTGCTCAGGCTGGTCTCGAACTCCTGAGCTCAAGGGATTCTCCTGCCTCCATGGTGTCATCATAGCTCACTGCAACCTCAAACTCAGGTGATCCTCCTGCCTCAGCCTCCTGAGTAGCTGGGACTACAGGCGCACACCACCACACCCAGCTACTTTTTTCTATTTTTAGTAGAGATGGGGTCTCGCTCCTGCTCAGGCTGGTCTCGAACTCCTGAGCTCCAGGGATTCTCCCGTCTCGGCCTCCCGGAGTGCTAGGATTACAGGCGTGAGCCACAACACCTCTCTCTCTCTTTTGATTTTATTTTTGAGTGAATTGTGTTATTTTGGAGGAAATTGATGAAATAATCAGAGAAAATATTTCTAACACGACAAATGTTGGTGGGTTTGCACTGCATAAGGAATGATGTCTCAGATTGGGAACGGCCTCTAGCAAGGATGCAGTTCTTTCAAAGACCTTGCCTCCTCCCCGTCTTACACAAGCTGTTGCAGAAGGCGTTGGTGTCTTTACTCTACACTTGAGGAACTGGGGCTCCAGTCAAGTGACCTGCCCAAGATTGCCCAAGGAGATCTGGAAGGACTAGCTCCCGTCCAGGCCCTGCCTCTGGCCACGTGGCTTGGCTCTTGGGGCAGAGGGCTTTGGTTTTTTCAAAAGACTTGCCTTGTTCCTCAGTTCCCCTTTCCACTCATTAAGGAAAGCAAGAAAAAGGAAGAAAAAAAAAAAAAGGAAAGGAAAAACCTCTGTCACAAGGCAGAGCTAGTCTCAACCTGTCGGTCACGAGTATTTCTGGCACTTGTTTATTCCTTTGTCCTTTTGACCTCCTGATCCCTGTCCCAACGCGCAGCTGAAGACAATGACTAGACTTGTTTCCTGCTGTTTTCCTTTCTCCTACTTTTTGCCTAACCCACCTCATGTCCCAACATCCCCTGAGACCACTTTTTGAGTTTATGCAAAAGGGAATTTAAAAGGCTATTTTTGGTTTATGCCCAGAAGACAGTACAAGAATTCACCAATGATTGGATTTTTTCCAAATTTCCAAACATTCAAATGTGGCTAAGAACACTGTAGTTCCAAAGTTCTCAGCGAGGAGATTTAAATGTGCTGAGCAATGGTAGCCCAGCTTCATTCTCTTCTATCACATCACTTTTAAGCAACACCCTGGTGCATCGCCGCTGTGTGCTGGATGAAATGAATTTCTCTGTTATGTTTGTTGACGTCTCAAGAAAAGCCAGAAGCCACAGTTTGCTCAGTTCTCTACACTCTATTACGGCAGAACTGGCCCAGGCTCCCAAGCCCTTTTTAGGCCACA